GAGCGCTCTGGGCTCCTCACTACCAGCTGCACAGGACAAGCCTCAGTGACTGAGACACCCCAACCCTCTGCCAACACCTTCTACCAGCCCTGCTCCTCTACCCCCAGGCTACCCCCATGGCCCCTGCCCCCATATCAGCGTGTGCAGCGGGGGGCTGGGGGGGGAACAGGCAGGTGCGTGTGTGTAGCAGGCCAGGCCATGGAGAGTTAACACCGCATATACTTGTTCCCCGCTCTTTTATCTCTGTGGTTGGTGTCTGGGCTTGGAGGCAGCGATTTCCTCCCAAGGAGGAAGCCGTGCCCAGAACACATGCTCCTTGATGGTATCGCACTGCTGACGCATGCCCCAAGTAGGTCATGGCAGCTCAGCCACTTGCGGGGGCTTCTGGGGCCAACACCCTTGGCTGGGCCATCTGGTAGGAGTGGAGGGGGACAACAGTGGGGTCTCAGACAGTGGGTCTGGTCCCTACTCAACCCCTTGGCCTGAGGCCAGCTGTGCTTGGCACTGTACATTCCCATCTATGTCACAGCTTCCCCAAGGCTTTTCACGTCTCAGGAGGAGGGAACTGGTCCCACACTTAGCTTGGTGGAGCACAGGGCCTGCCTGGGCAATGCCACCACCCTGTCGTCCCTTCCACCCCCAATCCTGACCTGCCCCTTGTGGCAGCGCTGGGGGCCAAGGCCTGGGCCCTGCCAGCATGGCAGCAGGGATGCTGTCTGGCACAGTGGCCCTGGCCTTCCCTGGGGAAGGTGGGTGAGCCTGCAAGGGGGCACTATGCCGGCACTCCAGGGTCCTGGGCTGGTGCTGGGGTGGGGGGCGGGTCTTGGGGATTCCAGCGCTGTGGGCGGCTTTTCCAGCCAAGATTGCCTGATTAAAGGGCTGCATCATTTTCTATCACACCCTCCATGGCTGAGCTGGAAACCATCCAGGCATTCACCCATTTGCATATCTCTGTGATCAGATCAGGGCCTCTGCGGGCAGCCCAGACTCTCCCCACCCCTCTGCCTGCTTGTGGCACAGCTGAGTCAGTGCTCCTGCTCACCCCACAGCACCATCCTCCCACCGCCCAGGGGCTGCAGCGTGATGCCAATGGAACCAGCAGAGCTTAACACAGCAAGCCCCCTGGGCCCTGTCTCTGCCATTGGGTGCATGGCGAGGTCCCTGCAAGCCAGGGAGGCCCAACTTCTCCCTTGCCCTGCAGCCTGGCTCCCTGCCCCCATGGCCTCACACCAGTGCTGGCTCCTGCTCTTCCAGCATCCTGCTGCCCCATGCCCTGAGGTGGCAGGTGACCAGCCATGGACCCCCACCCCCATGCAGCCCCCAGCCAAGCCACGTCCTAGCTCTGTCCAGGGCTGTGTGATGGGGGGAGCCTCCAGCCTGCCCCAGTGTTAGGCAGCTGAACCCAGTGTTGCTGCTCATAGCCCTGCACCTCTTCCCCCAACCTTGCACACAGAGGGCAAGACCATCCCTGACCAGGTCGTGGAGGCCACTGCCATTGTTGCCAGCCCCATGTCAGGCAGTCCTGCTCCTCCCTGGGCCCCCCCACATAAAACAAGGCTCTGAGTGCTGGCAGGGCTGGTGTGTGTCCATCACCCCCTGCTGCAGGCAGCATGCCTGGCCAGCACTGTCCCCTCAAGTGGTTTCCAAGGCCAGGTACACAGAGGTCAGATCTTCCAGGCATCAAATGTCCCCCTGAACCACAGGCCAGACAAGCCCCTTGACCTAGCACCACTTCATCCAGAGCAGCCTATGCACCCCTGAATGGGGCCACCTGCAGCTTTCCTCCACCCCTCAGGGGCTGGGGGCCACACACTGCCCACAGCCTGCCCCCAACCAGGCTTTGCTGGGGCAGGACCAGCAAGGGGGGTACAGCCCCCTGAGCAGCTCAGCCAGCCAGTGTTGTCCCCACAGAGACCTGTGCCAGGAGGTGATGCCAGCCCTGTGAGCAGGAGGTGATGCCAGCCCTGCTCCTGTCCCAGCATGGCACAGCCTTACCACTGGAACAGCACTGACACCCTCAGAGGTCTGCCTTATGTAAGGAAGTGAGCCCACTTCCTGCTGCACCTGTGCACCCACAGCCCAGTCTGCAGCACACAAGCAGCTCTGTCAGCTGCCTCCTTCTAGCACTGCCAGCCAGCTGGGGGTAGCACAGCCACCCACAGTGATTGTGACCTTGATTCTGCAGTTCCTTGGTACCATAGCCCAAGCCCCAACCCCGGGACGCCGGGAACTGGAGGCTGGGCTTTCCCCTAGCAGCCACAGCGCGTGACCTTGATTCCTCCTGGGGCATAAGTTGTGTTGCTATTCATCTGCACAGGGGCTGGGGCCTGCAGTCTGTAATGTAGCCTCAGACACCTTTGCTCTGGCTCCTGCACCTTTTCACTTGGTTCCTGGATGCAGGACTGTTGTGCTGCTGCACACTGTTGAAAAGCCACCAAGTTCTACCCCAGAGGTAGCTGCATTTGAGCCCAGAGCCAAGGGAGCCCTACATATACAAGGTTTGGATGATCAAGAGAGGTGGGTGGTTCAACCACCTGCCCACTTGTGCTCGCAGCTGTCAGCTCTTTCCTGGAAAGCCTCTGAGTCTGACCTGCTGCCTCCACCCACAAGCCCAGCTCCTTTCCCGGCAGCAGCCAGAGGGCTCCAGTTCTCAGGCAGGGACTGAGACATTATTATTGGCTCCCCCATCCCTGAGCCAGTGAGAAGCAGGAGAAATAGAATTTGGGACTGTAGGAAATACAAGAGCAGACAGCATAGCAGCCTGCCAGCCCCTCCACCTTCAGGGCCCTGGGTCCCTGCCACTTCCAGCTTGGCTGCAAGCCCACACAGTACTCACCCAGGCTACCGTCAAGGACCAGCTCTTCATTCTTGAGCCCGATCTGGGCTGGTCATAACAGGGCAATGCAGAGAGAAAGTCCGTTGTGGAGTGGCCAGCAAGCCGAGGGGGTCATGGCCTGGCACCAGAGTGACGGGCAAGCAGGCAGCCCATGTTCTTGCTAGCAGCCTGTGTGCTGTGACAGGAGGTGAGTGAGCACGAGTCCTGCCCACAGAGTCTTTTACACACACCGCAGCAGAGGAAATACATGTTTGGAAATGAGTCCCAGGGTGTCAAACCACATGACAGCATCCTGGGGCTGCGTGCGCAGGGGATCTGCCTGGCAGGGTGCCCACTGGCACAGGGCAGCACTCGGGGTGCCTGGAATCCCTCTGTGGTTTGGGTACCCCCCACACCTCCCTTCCTGGGAGCTAGGCCCCTGTGGGCAGCAGCCTGGTCCCCTCTTGGTCCCTCCACAACTCTCCCACCTCAGGCCAGTGACCACAGTTCCCCATCCCTCAGGTCCAGCTCTGGTGGGAGCATGCCTGCACACAGCCCTTGGGGGTGTTCCTGCCTTTGGAACTGGGAGGCACCGAGGGAGCAAGGAGGCAATTAGACTCTGCCAGCTTGAAGGCTCCTGACTCCAGGCCAAGCTTGGGACAGGACACCCAGCACTGATGCTGAGAGCCACAGTGCAGGCACCATGGCCCCTGCCCCCAGGGCTATGGGAAGGGGCCACTCTGGCACCACTCCCTGTACAGGTGTTGTTGCTGATGCTGTCTGTCTCTTTTTAGCAAAGAGCAGCATGTGCACACATCTCCAGCGCTGGCTCCAGGGCAGCCTGAGCAGAGGCCATCTGCACAGCCCCATGGACATGGCATGGCTCACTGCACTTTTGCATACAGCTCATGTGCTCCACCTCCTGTCCAGGAGTCCAAGCACCTGGCTGGGCCAAGCCTGGGCACCTGCCCTCACCAGGGCCAAGGGAGGGGCTTCAGGCAAGCTGTGTGGCTGAAACTCCTTGCTCCTGCAGGAAGCAGACATGCACCGATATGCAGACACACAGATATTCACACACAGACAGACATGCATGCACAGATGCATGCAGATACGCACATAGACACACACAGGCAGGCAGGCAGGCATGCACACCTGTGGACGGACACACACACACACAGAGCACACACCCTGCATGTAGCTGAGCCCCTTTAGGAGCCAGAGCCATTCTTGCTGGCCAGGACCTGTAAAAGAGCATCTGCCGGAGCAGGCCATAGTTGGGCCCCAGCACCATATTCCTGCTGCATGGTGAGAGCCTGGGGGTGCCCTGGGCTGGAAGAGGCCTGAGAGGCACTTAACACTCCAGATCAGCTGTTCTGTGGCAACTTTGTTTCATCAACTGCCCCAAGCCATGTCACGCCCTGTGGGGGAGATACACAGGAGCTTTATGGCAGAGGGCAGGGCCCTGCTTGCAGGAAGCCCCCAGCCACTGGGTACCACAGCCTCTCCTGCCACAGGAGGCGCAGGCTTCCACCGGATGTGATGTGTGGGGAGAAGCAAGCATCACCCCCCAGACCTTCTTCTTTCTTCCTGGGGAAACCCACAACTGCTTGCTCACAGCTTCTCCTTCCAGGTAAAACCACCACAGCAAGTGCACTGTGTCAGGGGGTGGCAGCATCCAGGATGTGGAGCTGTTTCACACACCAATCTGGGCTGCCCCAAAACAGCAGGCCTGGACTGCAGGGGCGTGGAGGCCCTGTTCTGCACCCCTGGAAGTCCCTGGGGTTCCCTGAAACCCCAGACAGCAAGGACTGGGAGGAAGGTTCTAAACATGCGCCAGGACTTGCCCCCGTCAGGGACTCATCAGGGCATCACATGGTGGATATTCTTGCCCCCACTGCTACCCAGGACTACGCGGGGGAGAACAGCATCCGGTGGCTCTCCTTCACCCCTGCCAGCCCCAAAGACCCCACCCTTGCCTTAGCGTGGCATTAAGTGCAAGATGCCAGAGCAGCTGTGAAGCCAACAAGCCACCCCCAAGTCAGAAGGACAGGCGGACAGTGGAAGCGTGCGCTCAGCTATGTTTAATGCTTCACCTGTTAAATACTGCACAGGTGGGATGTGCAGCAGGGAGTAGGTGCAGTGTAGAGATTAGTGTTAGAGGACAATACTGGACAGCTCTGAAAACCCAGAGCACCACACTCCCTGCCCCCCCACCCTCACTCCTCCCTGGCCCTGGCCCTGGCCCTGGCCCTGGCCCTGGCCCTGGCCCTGGCCCAAGAAGCACAGAGGGAGCGGCCAGGCCCCACATCCTCCCTGCCAGGACAGAGTTCTGGAAAACCCACTCCAAGATGAATAAATATGCAGCTCAGGAACATGGCCTAGAGCTTCCTGCCAGGCACACCCTGCTCTCTCCCGTGGCAGCACCCCCACGGGGGCCACGCCACAGAGGCCATGCCTGCCAGTCCTGCTCCCATGCTGCTCCATCCAGCCATTCCCCAGGCACCTCTTTTCAGCAGCCTGTCCAGTTGTCAGTGGGATATGCCTGTTAGAAGAGGAGTGGCTGGTCTCCTCCACAGTCACTGGCTCCCTCAAGAGTGCATGAGCCCCCAGCCTCACCCCAGCAAATGAAGCTGCAGCAGTGAGTAAGGAACATGCCCCACCCCAGCTGAGCCAGGTCTGGGCAAGCAGCAGCCCCCTGCTCCTCAGTCTTCTCTCTTCTCTGGGGCACTGACTGGTGCCTGCATTCCCAGCCTCACCCTGCCGCCCTCTGGCCCAACACTGCCAGCAGTTAAAGCCTGCCAACTTCCCGCCCACTGTGGCCTTGAGAGGCACCTGGCCATCGTGGGTGCTGTGAATGCAGCACTGTGCTTGCCAGCCCAGGGCCTGCCCACCACAGCCCTCTGCCCTCTGCACCCACTGCCAACATACTGATCCCTTCCCTGTGTCTCAAGAGTGACTCCACAGAGCTGACACCCAATAGATCCCACCCAGTGTCCCAAAAGGGATACATAGCAGGGTGCATGGTGCCCGCAGCGGTAAAACACTGGGGAGGCTAGCCAGGACCAAGCAGACTGGTTAGGGGTCATGGAGCAGGAGCTGCCTGGGCTCTGGGGGCTCCTATGGTCACCCTGGCTTTGGCTCTAGGCTCCTGCTGGCATGTTAGACACACACCATGTGCATGCTGCTGAGAGACAGCAACCTGAAGTCAGCCAAA